TTTTACTAAACTGAATGTGTTTGGGGGAGTTTTTTTCCCCTCTCAGCTAGTTACAGAGGTCTGTTCACTAATGTGCATTCTTGGAATTACTAGTGTGTGCATAGTGTAGGAATAGCTGAGTGGGTACATATGCAGTGTTTAAGGGTTCACTCTTATTTCCTCTCAAGTTTGACCTCCCCGGCATGGGGGGATATGGAAAAGCAGCCACGAGAATGCTTCCAAGACGTTGTTTTGTTTTTTAGTACTCATCGTTTTAGAATATTCAACAACAGGCTTTCACTGGACAGCTGAAACTTTAGCTGCATGAAGCTTCTAATAATTAGCTTACTTAAAACCATTTGGTAGCTTTTGAAAGCTTATTTCTTAACATCTAAAGTTTTTCTTTAGGAGAATATAGAAGTGGGCCAAAAAAACCCCACACATGCAAAAAACCCAAACTAATTGAAACCTTTTCAAGAAGACATTTTATATTTTGCTTCCCCCCCCCCCATATCTGGAAATATGTGTAACAGGCATTAAAAACTTAGAGCATTTCATAGATGTATTAATAGTTTTTTTATTTTTTTAAATCAATTTAAGAACTTACCCCTTTGTTCCTTTCTTGGGGTAGGGGGTTGCCCAACTGACAGCTCTTTGGTATTTAATTTGTGTTTTGAATTTATGTCCTATTTTCCTAAATAAACATGTTAAGGAACCCTGGCCTACATAGGTAACCTGTTTTATCCTCAATGTGGGCACAAGCTCATGTAGTAATGCTGAAAGAGACAGGAAAACACATCCATATTTGCACTTAGAAATATCTGGCACCCTGCTCTCCGAAGTTGTGGGGTGTGGGCATACAGCCTCTTTATGTTCTAACCACCAGGTGTGTATTCTCTGTTTCTGCATTTTGTGTGATGGGGAGTGGGTAGGAACATGGAGTGGGGTGGTGGTGCTGAAAATAAAGCTAAAAATGAATTGAGAGAGGAGGGATTGGCAAAATAATGAAAATTGGGAAGAGGAGTTTGGGATGGGTGGTGGATGAGATGGGGCCAGGAGCTGGGCACATGGGACAGGGAAGAGGAGGTGGTGTGTGTGGGTTGGCATGAGAAATTCCACCCTTTTTCCTCTGGCCAGGCACCCAGTCATTAGGCGTAGGTAGGAGGTTCACACTCGGATTTGTGCTGAGGGACAGGCAGGGTAGTGCGGTGATGAAGACAGGAGAGTCCATAGTGGTATCTGGTTAGGATGGCCATCCTACATACATGAGGACCCTCTTCATTGTGAATTCATGTGTTCAGGGTGTCCGTGTGTTGATCTGTTCTCATTTATGTTCTGAGTGTTGAATGGAAAAATAAAACACTGTTCCTCTAAAGTAAGTATCGTCATCTTCCCATTTCAGAATAAGCCTGCCACCTTTTGCCCTCATTCCCACCCCAAAAGTCTTTGTAATCCTGGGTGGTTATGTCCCTTGCATTTTGGCTGGCCTAACCTCCATTATATAACCTCTTCCTCCCTGATGGAGAGTATTGTTGAGTTCCTGTCTAGGGTTTATGACTTCTGCTAGAGTGAGAATGGGGGAGAAATTTAGGATTTTTATTGGGCAAAGAAAAGAGTTTATAAATAGCTTCCATTGTCAACTTCCCTCCTCTTGCTCAAGGCAGAATTGGCTGTCTTTCTGGGGGTGAGAAGGCATTCTTATGCTTGGCGCCAGCTGAGCTGAATTCAAGTGTAGTGCTTGATATTGCTGGAGTTGCCTGTAGTTTTCATGAGCACTCACTGCTAGGACTTAAGCTCTTGGATTTGACATCAATCTCCAGGGGATCTGGAATTATGACATACCTGGGCTGTGAATAAGGATAAGAAGTTTCCAGAAGCTTTGCATAGAATTAAAAAACAAGGGTACATTTTCTCTATTTTAGGTGTTTGGAAAAGGGGTATTGTTCGTTTCTGTGGGCACATGGTCGTTTTGTGGCTAGTCATGGTGTTGGTGGAAGACCAAGCAGAGTTAACTGTTAGGTGAGGAAGAGGTGGTTGCCAAACAGAATCCAAGTTGACAGAGAGTCAAGGATGGTGTGTTTTGTAATTCCCATGGAATCCTTTAAATTTCAATGGAATTCAGTTTGACATATTAACATGTACATTTTATGTCCAGGTCATTGAACCTACCGGAGAGGCTGGGCTGAATTAAAGCTAATTGAGTTGGAGTTTGACCCAAGCATGTACAGATCCACTTCTAGGGCTTCACTTCATCACTTAAGTTTTAGTTTAAATCTTGGGCTTATGCTTTCCATATTTCCTTTGGGCATTTTTTTTTAAAATCTCTAAGACATTTTTCCAGGTGCCGTCAATAATAGCATCTCAGTCTTCACCAGACTAACAAACTCTATGAAAACAGCTCCTAGCAAAGTGCTTTCAAAATTTCACATAGATTCATGAAATATCTTCCTAAATGTGCTTCCTAAATGTTTGCCATACCCTCTCCAGGCTAGCTGCCTTGCTTTATGATCATGTAGCTCCATAAATTCTTGATTCTTGGCTTTCTGTATAAAATTTAAGTCAAAGTAAAATAAAATCAATGAGTACTTTGAAATTATTAATTTATAAGTAATTACAGTTACATGTAAGTTGCATATTTTAGCTACCTGGGAAGTGGTTATATGGACAGATGAACTTTTTTTTAAATGCAAGCAAAGAACCTGTTAAAAGTTTGAATTCATCTGGATACATCTTTAGG